GTTTGTGATGCTCCGCTCCCTGTGTCCTTGTGTTCTCATTGTTCAACTCTCACTTATGAGTGAGAACATGCAGGGTTTGGTTTTCTGTTCTTATGTCAGTTTGCTGAGAATGATGGTTTTCAGTTTCATCCATGTCCCTGCAAAGGACATGAACTCATCCTATTTTATGGCTGCGTAGTATTCCATGGTGTATATGTGCCACATTTTCTTTATCCAGTCTATCATTGATGGGCATTTGGGTTGGTTCCAAGTCTTTGCTATTGTGAACAGTGCTGCAATAAACATACGTGTGCATGTGTCTTTATAACTGAATGATTTATAATCCTTTGGGTATATACCCAGTAATGGGATTGCTGGGTCAAATGGCATTTCTATTTCTACATGCTTGAGGAATTGCCACACTGTCTTCCACAATGGCCTAATTAATTTATACTCCCACCAACAGTGTATAAGTGTTCCTTTTCCTCCACATCCTCTTAAGCATCTGTTGTATCCTGATTTTTTAATCATCTCCATTCTAACTGGTGTGAGATGGGATCTCAATGTGGTTTTGATTTGTATTTCTCTAATGACCAGTGATGATGAGCTTTTTTTCATATGTTTGTTGGTTGCATAAATGTCTTCTTTTGAAAAATGTCTGTTCATATCCTTTGCCCACTTTTTGATGGGGTTGTCGGTTTTTTCCTTGTAAATTTGTTTAAGTTCTTCGTAGATTCTGGATATTAGCCCTTTGTCAGTTGGGTAGATTGCAAAAATTTTCTCCCATTCTGTAGATTGCCAGTTCACTCTAATGATATATATATATACTTTTTGCTGTGCAGAAGCTCTTAAGTTTAATTAGATCCCATTTGTCAATTTTGGCTTTTGTTGCCATGGCTTTTGGTGTTTTAGTCATGAAGTCCTTGCCCATGCCTATGTCCTGAATGGTATTGCTTAAGTTTTTTTTCTACAGTTTTTATGATGTTAGGCCTAATGTTTAAATCTTTAATCCATCTAGAGTTAATTTTTGTTTTTTGTATAAGGTGTAAGAAAGGGATCCAGATTTGGCTTTCTGCATATGGCTAGCCAGTTTTCCCAATACCATTTATTAAATAGGGAATCTGGATTTGGTAATTTTCAATACCCATTCCAGATAAAAATACTTAATAACCTCATGGAAAAACATTGACAAGAACCTCTTTAAAGATACTCAGTATCACTACCACTATTTGACATTCTAGAATTGCTTACCTACATAATTAGCCAAGAAAGGAAATGAATATAAGTATTGAAAAAAGAGGGATTTAAACATCCTTATTTCAAATTATATGATTAGCTCTCTGGAAAATCCAAGAGAATCAACTGAAAGTCCATCAGAACTAGGAAGTAAGCTTAATAAAGTGGATAGTTCTAAATAAATATATGAAAATCAAATAGTTTTCCAAAATACTGTTAATAGCTACTTAGAAAATATTATTAAAAAGATCTCATTCAGCAGTAATAAAATGACAAAATATCTGAAAATAAGCTTATTAAGAAAAATGTGGACAATACATGAAGAAAGCTACAAAATATTATGGAATGACAAAATGTGACTAAAAATGGAGATTACATATGTCTGCATGAGAAGATTTAATAGTAAATATGAGAATTCTTACCAAATTATTGTATAATATTACTACAATCGTCCCATTTGGGATTTGTTGTAGACCTTGACAAAATTCTACAAGCAACTAACATTTAGTACAGTTCCTGGCAAACAATAAGCACCCATTTTGTGGAACAAACAAAGAAATAACCAGAAAAAAAATTTAAAACAAAATGTGTTGAGGGAGGGTTTATATTATCACAAGATTCAAAATGCATCAGAAAGCTTTGATAATTACATTTTGTATTAAAGGTTGTACTATAAATATCAATAGAATAGAAATTTTAGAAGTTTATACATATACACACAAACAATATTAGGATAAAATTGGCATTTCAAACCTCCAGTAAAATTATGGATAATTTAGTAATTGTTATTTGTAACACTGGCTCACCATTTGAGAAAAATAGAGAGATATCTAATACAAAAGTTATTGCAATAATTACATCTTAATAAGAAAGAAGCTTTATTTTAAAATGAGTGAATGTAATTTTGTGTATACCATGGGATCACAATTAATATTACAAACATGAATAGGAGAAAAGAGAGGAGTTAAGAACAAGAATGTTCTTGTTTTAAGTATGAGAGAGTTTTCCTTCTATCTGCTTTTTCTGATTTTCTGTGTTCAATTGAGAGACACAGGAAAGGAGAGCACATTGATTCGAATCACAATCACTTGCTGGCTGTCAGCTGTTACATAATCCCTCTGATACACTAGAATCAGCCATAAGAACATCTTCACACACTAGAATCGACCATAAGAACATCTACCAGGCCTGTCATGAGGATTAAATAAAATTATATATGCAGTGCAGTTAGCATAGCTCCAGCCTGTAGTAAATGCACCATGAATATTAGCTATTATTACTTTTGTCACCAGAAAAACATAATTAGGAAAAGAATATTTGGAATGGAGACACTGATGGCCACATAGTGCACTGCTATAGCTTCTGGGAATCTGAACTGTGGTGACTGAATCTAGCTTTTGCTGAAGCTAATCCCAGATTTTGGATTTAGATCTTTGAAAGTGAGGAAGATCCCATGTAGTACACAGGAAATGCTGCATTAAGGGCATTCCATTAAGAGGGGAGGTTTAGATTAAGCTACTTTCATGTGTTCTAATATGATTAGTTACAAGGCTGCCAACTAGAGATACAGTCTACAAAAAACAGTCAATGAATGTCAAAAGTGGTCATGAAACGAGAATTCTCATTTTTTTTTTGAAGAAAAACAGAAAGAAAAAAAAAACTTTGTGTCTATTCTGAAATAAACGTGATCAACAGTCCGTGAGACACAGGAAGAGGCAGAATGGTCAGGAAAAAGACCACCAGGACTTTGGAAATGAGGGCTCAAGTCTCAACTCTGCCACCTGCTGGGTGATTTTCAGGGAGCCATTCAACCTCCATGAACCTTAGTTCCCTCAACTATAAAATTGGAGGAGAATGGTGTTAAGTGATCACTAAGGCTTCTTCTAGTTTCATTGCATTAAACTAATATTTCCCAAATAGAAAAATTTAGTTACACTCAGGGATGACATATAAATCTAAAACAAAAACAAGCTCCATAAGAGTCAGGAGGATTCTTGTTTTAATGACTGGTGAAGATAAAGGTGTAAATCCTGATCAAACAATCAGCCCAGTAAGGTAGGCCCATTGGAGAAAAAAATCAAAATTTAGAGGTTCCCTCTGATTCATTTCGTTAGAGGTCTAGAATTGAATTTTTTTTTCTCTGCTTATGAATTGGTTTATGTATATCCATTCCTTCAACCATTTATTAAGAGTCTATAATGCGTAAAGTGGCAAGATGAGCTAAACAAAGTCCTTGCTTTCAAGTAGCCAGGCTTAATTTTTACCTAAACTTAAAACATACATTTTAAAAAGATGTTTCACCTTGTTTTTTAGCTTGCAGTTCCGTGAGAAGCTTTTCTTTCACAACTTTAATTGCTGCTACAGTGGCCTCAGCTATAGTATTTTCTACTAATCTTTCACGGGCTTTATCAAAACGTGGCTGAACAAGTTGGGCATAGTCGACTACCTGCAAAGAATATTTCAGAAAATCAACATAAGGAGGAGTTATGTGTCTTTAAGTTTAATTAATATTTCCAGATCCCTATACTCCCATTCTGCTTTGCTTTTAGTAGGCTTACACTGTTTTATTCCATGCCAGTAAATCTTCATCCACATCATCAGTTTTTAGTATGTGCATATTATTGCATCAGATGAATATATTACAACTTATTTAACTAAAATATCAACACATATATATGGCATACTACATATACATATATTATATACTATATACTATTCACACATATACATATACAAACATATACATACACCTACATGTATATACTTGCTGGTAAGAGCATAACCATTAGGCATAGCAACTGGAAATACATATTCAAGCCTAAAATCCATGCATTTCCTTTGAACTATCAATTCTATTTATGGATTTTTCTAAAGAAACTGTCAAAGATATGTTCATAATTTTGTTCATCATAGCTTAGTTTATAGTAGCAAAAATGTATATACAAAAATATAGATAATATATGTGTATGATATATTATCTATATTTTATACATTATATATAATATACATATTACATTATATGTTATATACATATACATTCCTATAAGGAAAAGAATCAGGAGTCTCCTTATATACATATACATGCATATACATATATGCATATACTATATATATATATCATATATAAAGATATATAATATATATTCTATATAATAATATAGTATACTATAGTATATTATACATAGTTAATATATATTAATAATATTAATATATAATATATCAATATTACTATTAATATATATTAGTATAGTGCTGTATTAATATTATATTATTATATATAAATCTAATATATTAATATTAAATTGAATATATTTATATATATTATGTATATAATATATAATATGTATTATAGACATGTATATGTATATAGTATATATGATAATATGTATAAAATGTAGATAATATATAATATGTGTATAATAATATATAGATTACATATTATCTGTATTTTGGTATATACATTTTTGCTAGTATAAGCTTGGCTACTACGAACACAATTATCTACATATCTTTGATAGTTTCTTTAGAAAAATAAAACAGAATTGGCAGGTCAAAGGATATGCATGAACTTTAGGTTTGCATATGTATTTCAATTGCTATGCCTAATGGTTATACTCTTACTAGCAGTCTATGAGAATGTACCTCTCCCATCCTAGGTACACATCAAAATTTGGTTTTAATTGTTATGACAAGCCTCTGTTTTTTGGCATCTCTCTATCAGGGAGATGGTATCCTTTTGCTAATGTTTAATGGCTATTTGTATCTATTATTCTGTGAACTGCTTGTTTGGTTTTTTTCTCCTATTGGGGCTTTATCAGCATATTGATTCATCTTTTTATATTGTAAAATGAGAATTCCTTTATCTGACACATATTGTGATGGGTTTAAAATAAGTCCACAAATCCCTTGACATGCCTCCCTTCAGAAGGTGGAGCCTAATTCTCCTCTTTAGTGTTACTAGATCTTAGTAGTGACTTGCTTTAAATAGAGTGATAGTGGATGACTTTTGAGACTAAATCATGAAAGACATTAGAGCTTTCTCCTTGGTTTACTCTCTCTGAGGGTAGTCAGTTGCTATGTCATGAGGACACATAAGCAGTCCTATGGAGAGATCTACATAGAAAGGAACTGAGGTCTCATTCATGTGACTGAGCCATATTCCAGCCCCAGCCTACTGTCAGATGAGTGCAGCCCCAGATGACATCTTACCTGTAACCTCAAGAAAGAACCTTGAACAGAATCACATTGCTAAGCCATTCCTGAATTCCTGACTCAGAGAAACTTGCAAGATAATAAATGCTTATTGTTGTTTCAAGCTGATAGGGTAATTTTTTATGCAGTAACAGATGATAGACACACACATGAAAAATATATACTCAATATTTTTCTTGTATGCTGTCAAAAGTTTTACTTTTCCTTCTAATTTTTTTCCTTTTTTCCTTCTAATTTACACTTTAAGTAATACAAAATTACCTGGATATGACTTTTTATTCCCCAAATGATGAACTAGCTAGGAGCTAGGAATCTTAGGTAAACACACACACACACACACACACACACACACACACACACACATTTCTTCTCCCACATCCCTCCATAAGCCTCTAATAATTAGATAATACCTTTAAAAATGTGTTATTTATGTTATTTTGCTTATAGAACAATTATTCACAGTTATGTAGAATACAGTCATAGTTCTGTTCTTGCAGTAGTTTTTTTTTTTTGATGATTTTTTTGTGGGGATTGCTTAGTTTTCCATATACCTATCAATAATGAATTCCCAAACTCTTCTTCACAACTATAAATTTCTGCTTGAAAATACATCAGGTAATCATCTTTCTGGAGCTATCTCTTCTGGAGCCATCTGGACTCCTACCCCAAACTGGATCGGTTATTTTCTAGGCTTCTAGGCCTGCAGAACAACTGACCTAATGGGCTCTCCCTCCCCAACCATCTTGGGATTCCCTTTCCCTCTTCCTTGTCAGGGGTGCATGGATGCTTTTTTTTTAAAAAAAAATATACACTTTATTGCTTTTTAGGTTTTGGGGTACATGTGAAGAACATGCAAGATTGTTACATAGGTGCATACATGGCAATGTGGTTTGCTGCCTTTCTCCCCATCACCTGTATCTGACATTTCTCCCCATGTTACCCCTCCCCAAATCCCTACCCCCCACTATCCCTCCCCTAGTTCCCCACAACAGACCCCAGTGTGTGATGCTCCCCTCCCTGTGTCCACGTGTTCTCATTGCTCAACCTGCCTATGAGTGAGAACATGTGGTTGATTTTCTGTTCTTGCGTCAATTTGCTGAGAATGATGGTTTCCAGCTTCATCCATGTCCCTACAAAGGACACGAACTCATCGTTTTTTTATGGCTGCATAGTATTCCATGGTGTATATGTGCCACATTTTCCCTGTCTGGTCTATCATTGATGGGCATTTGGGCTGGTTCCAAGTCTTTGCTATTGTAAACAGTGCTGCAATGAACATTTGTGTGCATGTGTTTTTCTTTCAGATCCCATGTCTCCATCTTGGTTTAGGTTCCCATTCTGATAGACTATATCCTCTAGTAGCTTCTGACAAAGAACAGATGAGAGGTAATTTTTTGCATGTATGACTGAAAATGCCCTCATTGTATCATTAGACTTTATTGGCCTGAATATAAAATCTTAGGCTGTCAGCCACTCCCCCCAAAAATTGTCTTCTGGCTTCCAGAGTTGTGGGTTGAGAAGTTTCATGCTATTGGAATTCCCAGTCCTTTCCATGGGACCTAGTTTTCCTCTCCAGAGTATTGTAGGCTCATTTTTACAGAAGCCTCTGGATCTTTGCCCCCATTGCTTCATAATTTCAAAGTGATGTGCCTTCGTGTGGGTCTTTCTCCATCCATTGTTCTGGGCATTTGCTACCTCATTTCTATCTGGAAGCATGTCCTTCAATCTGAGAAATTTTCTGCAGTTATTTCTTTGGCACTATTCTTTTCTCTGGTAGCTCCTACAAGAATTCCTATATGGATAATGAACACCCTAGGCTGACCTTGTAGTTTATTTAATTTTGCATTCTTTTTCCATTTATTTGTCAGTTTATACTAATTTCTAGAAGGTAACTTTAATTTCTATCTTTTGAGGGACGGTGGGGGGTGGGGAGCTGGGGAGAGATAGCAAGGGGAGAGATGCCAGATGTAGGTGATGGGGAGGAAGGCAGCAAATCACACTGCCACGTGTGTACCTATGCAACAATCTTGCATGTTCTTCACATGTACCCCAAAACCTAAAATGCAATAAAATAAATAAATAGGGAAAAAATACCTTCCAACAACAACAACAAAAAAGAAGTTTTCATTTGTGTTATGTTTTCTTTTTTCTTTCATCTTGCATATATTTTAATTTCAAAGGACCCATTTTTCCCCAAATGCCCCCTTTTCTGTTTCTAGCATCCTGTTTCAGTTTCTAGATTCAATAATTACTCTTATTTTCCAGAGTATATTAATAATTGGAAGCTTCATTTGCATGAGTATTGTTTGTTTAGTGCTTATGTGATTTGGCTTGGGAATTGTATTGTGAAACTCTTAGCCATCAGAAGGCCAGAAAGCGACCTTTATCTGAAACTCATTTTTCAAGGACATTTTCACTTGGTATATACTTCTAGGATAGCCTTTTTTTCTTTTAGTTGTTTGAAGCTCTTGTTTGATTGTTTTGTGATTGCCATTGCTTCTGATGACAAGTTGGCAATCATTTGTATCAATCTTTTCTTCTATTTAATATACCAATTTTTCTGTGGCTGCTTTAGGGCAGGGGTCCCCCACCCTCAGACCACTGCAGGAGGTGAGCAGTTGACAAGCATTACTGCCTGCTGAGCTTTGCTTCTTGTCAGATCAATGGCAGCATTAGATTCTCATAGGAGCATGAACCCTATTGTTAACTGCACATGTGGGGGATCTAGTTTGTGTGCTCCTTATGAGAATCTAATGCGTGAGGATCTGAAGTGGAACAGTTTCATCCTGAAACCATCCTCCACCCCAGCAACCCAGTATGTGGAAAAACTGGGTTGCTGGGGTGGAAGATGAAACCATGAAACCAGTTCATGGTGCCAAAAAGGTTGGGGACTGCCACTTTAGGGGTTTTCAGCATTAAATATGATGTGTGTAGGTGTGGTTTTCCTTGTATTTACCCTGCTTGGGGCTTACTGAGCTTCTTGGAGCTATAAGTCAATCTAAATTTTTTGGCTTTTGCTAGGTTTCTTAATTTAAGTAATGTTGGCAATCATATCTTCAAGTATATTTTTTCTGTCCTATGTTCACTATCATCCTCTTCTGGGACTCCACTGACTCACATTAGTCCGTTTGATTTATCCCACAGGTCCCTGAAGCTCTGCTCATTTCTTCAATATTTTTTTCTCTTTCTGTTCTTCAGACTGGAAATGTTTTATTGATCTGTTTTCAATTTCTT